AGACATTATAGACTTTACGCAAAAAGTTAATCACAGAGGCAACTAAAATCAATTAATAATTTTTAAAAATCCTTTCTGAATATCATCTCATGGACACTGAACTAAATGCGTCTTGCTGACCAGGAGCTGACAGCGTGTTGAAGAGTTATGGACATGAAGCTTTGGAGCGCATCTGGTTCAGAAGCTAATTAAAAACCTTTGGTTGAAATGGCGCCTTTAATTTCAGTCTCCATTACAGACCAGAGAAAACTAAAGATAATACAATGTTGTATTAATCCATTTATAGTCTAAACAGAGAAGCCGGCAGTTCATCTCGAGGAAATAAATAAAGGTGCAAAAGTTAATTAGACCATAACACGCGCAGTGCGCGGCACAACTAATGCGGACGCGGCTGCGAAGGATTAAACTTAACTCACTCTGCGGTTTTAATAAATGGAGCTGGAAGACGATACCCTACCGCGTCCAGAAGAAGAGCGGCGCTCAGGAGGAGCGTGGCAGAGTAAGATCTGTCCGTTTCGGGGAAGCAAAACCACGCAAAAAAATTTAAAAATAAATGAATAAAAAAAAATCCTCGTAAAAGTGCAAGTCCGGACCGCGCACAGGGAAAAAAAGTTCAATTGATCGGTCCAACTGACCGATGAACTAGTGCAGAGTTCTATGCAGATGCGAGGAGGACTACAGATAAATTAATAATTAACACACAACTGAACAATTTTAGAAAGTTCACTAATGAACTTGTGACTAACAAAAGAACTTCCAAGAGTGGGGTCTCCATTTTGACCCTTTTTGAGCCATGATGGAAAACCTGCCCGAAAAGGTTTCCTCTCCCTGCCAGAGGGAGTAGGCCTGTTACAGTCAGCTTTGTTCATATTTACTCCACTGCTCTAAAGTTCACAAAAAAGGGGAGGATGCCCTGACCCCAGTGAAAAAATTCCCTCAGGAAAAAATTCTGTTAACTTGACCCGAGTGATCATTCACTAAACCCCTTGTTCTCCCCTCAAACTTGAATAGACCCATTCAAAAAAACTAAAAGATCTTAAATACCTCTTTTAAAAGGCAGTGGTCCTTAAATCTTACCTTGACTTCTCTTAAAACAATGCAGTCATTCTTTGTATCCTTTTACTGTATCTCTGGGTGTCTGTCCTTTCTTGGCCCCGATGGTCTTCCAAGTTAGGCATCTGATATTCTCCAAGCTGTTCTCCACTGGCCTGGTCACCGCCACCTGCAGCCTTCACTCCGCCATGTCTTTGGTCACTTCCTCAGCCATGTTGTAGTGCGCTGAGGAAGTGTGCGTGTTTCTATGAGGCCAGTGGCGCAACTGCACATTATTCAGGTGGATGCGAAAACATAAATCGGCGCCCCCCCCCCCGAGGCGACGCTACGTGGAGTGTAAAACTCGCTACATGTACCTCGTTATGTGCGAGAGGTGAAGGAGCGTGAGGCGCGCAGAAGTGTATGGGAAAACATAATCCGCGCGTCGCCCCCTCCAGACGGGGTTTTGGCGCCCCCTCTGGTGCTGCGCCCCTATGCGTTGCATACGCTGCATACCCCCTTTTTGCGCCTCTGTATGAGGCATCTCCCTCGTAGAAACACGCGCAGGCTCGCCGGGAATGGCATCTGGAACCATATGTTCTTCCCCCACAGAACTCTTTTCACTTCCACTACTCCTTTCGTTTCTACAGCACCTCCGGGGCATAGTCATGATCCAGAAAAACTTTCTTCCCCTCCTACATGAATCCCTTCTTCTGCTATGCCTTCTTTATAATCTCTTCTTTCACTCTGAAGCTCATAAATTTTGCCACTATAGATCTTGATGGTGAATCCGGGATGCAGATCTAAAGCCTGATGAGTTCTAGATCTGGAAGGGAAAAGACGGCTTCTGATCCAGTTTCTCTCTCAAAAGGTTCTCTATGTAACGGATCCTTTTTGCATTCTGCTGGTTTTATTGATTGATCAGGCTGTGACATGGTTTGTCTTTAAAAGGATGGTTTCTCGATTTATTCTGACGAGAACAACATATAGAAAATAACTGTGTAATAGGTTGCCTGCTCCAAGTCCTCTCCCGCAGGACAACATGACAAAAGGCGGCAGGGACCATGTCTCACAACTTTCAAATATGCAAAATAAACCTTTTGTATACAACATATCTGATGAGAACAAACAGAAAACAACCATTTTAAAGGCTCCCCGCTCCAAGTCTTACACAAAACAAAAGTACATAAAAAATTTTACTTAATAGATCTATAAATAAACTGAATGTATTTAGATGAAAAATAAACAGCACACACCTCTCCCACAGGACAACATGACAAAAGGTTAAAACAATGACAAAGTTGTTTCAGTCAGATAAGGAGCAAGACAAATAATAAAAAAAGACATTTTCTGTAATTATAACATAAGAGAAATACAACCAGGTTACATCTATAAATTCCGTCATTGATCTGGTGCTATGGATTAACTGGTGGCTAAATTAACTGGTTGAAACCTATGCACACCGCAGATGTTTCGAAATTGTAGGTGGCTGTGTCGATGCCTGCTGAAAAATGCTACTTGTGCGACAAAACTATTTGCAAAACTTTACTATAAATCCCATTTGACACATACATGTTTAATGTCACATGTGGAAATTATGTTTCAAACCAACTTTCTACAGAGCAGCATTCAGTGTTCTTCGAAAACACTGCATTTGAGCATAACCAGATCAATGAGTAGCTTTTCTCTCTTGCTCTTGGTGAAGGCGGACGCTTTTTTCCTCTGCTCCCTCCCTGCCCATGCCTGCCCTGCTTGCTCTGTTTTTGTCCTGTCTTTTTCTATATTTTTGGAGCCTTTCTTTGCACATCTTCCAAATCTACAAATTATGGATCTGGTCAACCGATCTCTCAATGCAATTGATCAAATTTCCGACGAGAAGTCTGGGCACAGGAGAGCCCTCTTGTCCTGCAGGGACACACCCAGTGGGATTCACCCTGGATTTATTCATAATGACAGGATTTCTGCTGTTTGGAGCTTGTGGATTCCTGGATTATCGACAAATTTGTGACGGACTTGGCTGAACTAGCAAACACTCAGACTGTTGGTGTGGACAGAGACGAGGACTGAGATGCATTGGAGAGACTTTAGGGAAGATTGAAATGTATAAACTTCCCGACCTAAGACATTCTGTTTATGAATTGGCTTTCCCCGTGTGGCCTTGGAAGGGTTTCATATTTCTAATCTCCTTGAAGATATGTAAACACAACGCTCCTTCCCACCTCACCACCTCCAGTTTCCATGGAGCTGTGGAGCTGAGCGCTCCTATGGACATCATTCCTCGATAACAAACACCTCTGTCGGACTATGCCAGGGACCACAGCCACCTGGCTTCATGGCCTTTTGATGTCACCGCATTCACTCATGTCTTTGTTTTGCCCCTTTGTTTTGTCTGAATGTTGCCATCTGCCCTAATGTGACCGTTCCTCTTTTCCTTTGGTTTGTTATTTTGTTTGTATTTCCTTTTAACTCATGTAGAGCACTTTGAATTGCCTTGTTGCTGAAAATGTGCTATATAAATAAAATTACCTTACCTTACCTTACCACAATCCCATTCACATTCAGGTTGACCAGAATAAATTAATTCCAACTCATCAATAGCCGGTGTTCTGTCAGATCAGCATACGCTGTCAGATCGTCATAAGCTTAGCACGAACTCACGGCTATATCTGTCAGAGACGTCATTACCATATGATTTTATTTAATCAGCAACATAGAATCATGACGTAGATCGTCATACACTTTGCAGCTGTATGGCATCCTGACTTAGCGGTTAAATAGGTTAATGAGTTTTACACGGACGTGTGTTGTAGTTGACTGCAGCTGCAGTTAGGCCCTGCTTTAAATACACTTTGAAACCACGACAACGCATGTATATCTATCTAGCTATCATTGAAAACAATTTAATGACTTATTTTTGTCATAACTTGTTGCGTATGCTGAACTGACAACTCCTCTGAAGGTTGGACTTCTTAATGCTCATGCACAGGCATGCATATTCACTGCATGCATGCTATTCTGACAGCATATGGTAATCTGATAGAACATCGCAATGTAAACCTAAGTGGCTAGTTTCTGCTTTTTGTAACCAGCACTGATCAGAAAAACATAGGAATTGGCTCCCAAGTACCTGTAGTGTGAGTTGCTCAACACTTCTAGCCGAGTGTGTGTTGTTGGCTCAGATCCTGTAAAGCAACCGCACTTCCTGAACGTTTTTTAAGCGATACTACCCACAGGAAATGTCACTAAACAATGAGGTAGGTGTCATCATATTTAATAAAATTTAAATCACATTCCTGATGGTATTGCTTGTGGTGTTTATGTGTACAAATAGAGAGGAATATAAAGTAATCTCGATAAGTTGTACTGCAAAAACATGTCATCTAAATTATATAAAGTTAACAGCCAATGTTATAGTTGGTGGTGATATCCAAATTGAGAAGTCAGAATTATAACAAGTTCCTACATTGTAATATCAGATAGACTATGAGCCATATCTACAGTATTTGTCCGTGTGTTCTCTACTGGAGAACAGTTTACAGGCTGTTGACAAGGGGAAATAAACTTAAAAACAAAACGAGCCCCATTAAGACCTGAATTAACTGGTGACAGTCAAACAGGGTCCTCAACCCAGATGTTCGTAAAAAATTAGGTGACTGTGTCGTTTCCTGATCAAAACGCGACAAACGGATATGAAAATGTCTCTACTTTCTCTAAGATCTCTTCAAAACATAATTCTTTGTATATGAAGGAATATTGAAGAATATATTGAAAGATCACTAACATATACCACACTTCAAGAGACTGTACTAAACAGTCAGAATTTGTACTATCGCCCCAGCATTGTTAGAGTACTGACGATTATTTTACGTTTTCTCAGTCTTATATTGATTGACAAGTTCTGCAAACTTATCAATAAATGTAAACAGTTCTGATATCATGCAAACTAATTCATTGCTCATTTAATGGAAGCCACATTATTTCGTTTGCACCTTAAGACATCTCTGGGCTGGAGACGCAAAGCTGTGCAACTTGTTAATCTGACAATATTCTTACAATTAAAGTTTGTCTGGCAAACTTGTCAAAAAATATTACCTCCAGAACATTGGCAGCAAGTGAATATTATTTTTTAGACAATAAAATAAACTGGCCTAAAAAGTGAATCAGAAGAAAGTGCTAACTAAACTCGTACCAGCGGTCCCTGAGTTCCGAGTACTCCGAGTACTCCGAGTACTCGGTTCATGAATCAAGGGGGGAGTTCATTTAAAATCAGTGTTGAAGTCGTAAGCATCACCTGTATAAACGGTAGAGAGGCTGATGTCGACAGGAACAGGCTGGAAATGAACCTTACTGGGTTTATCTTTGACTGTTTTCTGCAGCTTCTCAAGTTCCTCTGTTTCATGCAGCTCCTCTGTTTCTCCAGGCTAGCCAAATTGCTGCCGCAGTTGATGAACCTGGTAACTTTTCAGATGTTCTTCGTTAACGTGACATAAATAGGTTATAATGATTTTCATTCAGTCAGGACTTTACGCTGACTCTAGCCACATGAGTCACAGGTAGATTCTAGTAAAGCATTGATTAATGCCTCGTTTTAAAATTAGTTAACTGGACTTGTAGCCATTATTTTGTGCCCAGGTGGCTGGACACCAAACAGCACCCATCTAACAGACACTTAGCGCTTTAAGATTAACTGGTGACACTTTCATAGTCTCCATTTGAGTGAAGACTTTAACCCATTCCTGATGTAAAAGTATACAAGACAATTGTTTTACATTGTCTCTTATGGTTGAGTATTAGGATCACTTCATGGACAAATAAAGATCTTTAATTAAATTATGAGAAAAAATATCAATGATAAGGAAGAAATGACAGATCTGCAGTACCCATGTCTATGAACTAAAAAATAAGCTATAACATGTTACAAAAACAGTGTTTAAAATTTCGCTACTGTTTCTGTGAATATCTATTTGAAATATACAATATGAGGGAGATGCACATTAAATGCACAACAATACCAGTTTAGACTTTGAGCAACTTGCTAAAACTGTATTGTGTAACATTAAATCATGCTTGGCTGCAACTGTATCCATGGCAGCTCTTTTTCTATTCAGTGTTTGTAGCTTGTAGCTCCGCTCCTGCTACTAGTAGCTTCACCATCAGTTCAGCGTTAAACCAGCTAATGACGTTGCTGTGATTCACTTTGTCTGGTATTTTTGAACATATGTTTTGGCAGTTCTGTGATCATGTCAAAGCAGCAACTTGTATTATTTTTTTTATTTCTGTTTGAAGGCTGTCCCCTTCCATGGAAGGAAAACAGAAAATCGCTCTTATAAACATGTAATTACTAAAATCATGATACCCTGACTTTGTATCCCTCTGAAAAATGAACCCATTTAAATAAAGAAAACCCTCCATGGTGATACCACGATAGAGAGCGTTCATTTTATAGCAGTAACACCGGAGCTGCACGTGGTCCGGTATGAAACGGGTGTGATAGAACAACACAGCACTTTTAAATTTCAATAATCAGAATACCGAAATTGTTTCCGTTGTTTTGAAAGGTTTTTGTCAGTCTGCCTTTTCCCCATCGATACGTTTCCCGACTGCCCTGCACCTTAGGGGGTTAAAAATAATAATTAAAAAAATTAATTAATTTTTAATAATTAATTTATGCACATCGCGTAAAACTGAAACAGGAGAAGCGGGACATAAAACGGAGCGTCGAACTAGATGTGAATTATGGCATAAAAACAGAGAATCCGACGCTGAACAGTGAAAAATCAACACATGATGTGAAACATGACTATTAGGCAGCGCAGCAGGTGATGAGTGAAGATTAATGATGGTGAGCGTCAATAAATGATAAAATAAATTAGTAACAGGAAAGAAACTAAAGTGGACATAGCAATAAACCAAGAGAGGATAATAATAATCAGATGTAAATGGAACTGAATGAAGAACAAAATGCAAGAATAAACTAAGAAACTAAAGTAAATACATAATAAACTGGTATGGCAAGACCTTTCGAGCAATAATTAATACAGAGGACTGTATGGCAAGAATAAACAGACACCATTTCCAGATAAAAGGTAAAATAATATAGTTGAAGTGCCATGAGTTTGTTGAGACCACATCTAATACTGAGAATAAATATATCTTACAGACCATAACAGTAACAAACTTATCACTTATTTATGTTTTTAATTAGATTTGATTAAGAACCAGATTTGTTCTTTGTAATTTCTGTCCAGTAAAACTATTAATCTATAATCAATAGACAGATCTATATAAAGATATAATCAATGTTTCTGTCTCATGGCATTAAAAGGACCTGGAACTTTTGTTTTTCCACTGAAAGCTCTGGTTTGCACAATAAATGCCATGTGGGTGAAATTTTATGGATGATACTCTGATGTCTCATTTTCCTGAAGGCAGCATAGAGC